CTTTAAATGGTAGTGTTCATGTTTAAGGGCTAAACTAACATTTGTTATTTCAGTCTCTTTAATATATGTACATTTCAGATTTAAAGCACAAACTGGAATCTCTTGAACAAAGTTTAGTGCAGTTCAAAATGCATGGTTTTTTTTCTTTCAAGTGCAGGCAATCAAAATTAAGTTGTGATGTGACTAACTGTGTACTGTAATGTCTCTGAAACCTTGTGATTGAGCTAAGAGATGATAAATCTTCTTGTCTCAGCATCCAGAGGAGTTAGTCTTTGAGACAGCTGTTTAGAATGTTAGTGAATATTTATATACCTCATAAAAGATTCAGTACCTTTTATGTCTGGTGCAGACATCACGCTACCCTTGTTCAAATCACTGCCTATTCTTCTAATTTATTTATAGCCAATATATCAAGGTTATTTGACCGTTTTTATAAGGGTCTAGAGTGGAGCTATAAAATTATTATAGAATAGCATTCAGAAGTTTTGGATTATGTTTTGGAACTAGTTGTGTTCACTAGACTGTATTTCAAATATCAGCACACTTCTACAAGTACAGTAAACTTCCCCCACCCCCAGGTCTCTTAATTTTTTTTGTGAGTAGTAGTTCACTTGTAGATTGTCTCCCCCTGCCCTCTCCTTCTTTTTCATAATAGTAGGGCTGAAGCCTTCCTGAGCAACAGTGTGTCAGGCAACTGTTTCGGTAGATCAGGGGTTCTCAAACTTCATTACACTGTGACCCCCTTCTGACAACAAAAATTACTACACGACCCCAGGAGGGGGGACCAAAGCCCAAGCCCGCCCAAGCCTGCTGCCCCAGGTGGGGGGGGGGTGGGCATAGCTGCCCCCTGCCCAGGGCAGAAGCCCTTGGGCTTTGGCCTTGGCCGTGGGCGGTGGGGCTCAGGCTTTGGTTTCACACTGGAAAAACACCAGTCTGGCTTTTCTAGAACCTATTAATAAAGCATTGTTTGGCTGAAACTGGCCACTAAAATTTGCTTCAAATTTAATGTTGCCCAATGAAATTTGCCATGTTGCTCCGTGAAAATGGCACTTCTTTTCAGGGGTGGGGTAGAAGAGGAACAGCTTTACATATAATACTTGCCCTTCTCACACAATCTTCATAGCCTATTTACTAACTAAACTCCAAACCTACCCAAAGAACAGAACAACGTAATTGACCAAAAAAACCCACAAACCCGAAGATATTATGCGTATTTAAAGATGAAGCCTTAATTATATAGCAGTCCTTCCAGAATATATTATAATACAGATACTTATTCATTAAACATCGATACCATCAATATAATCCATAGTTTCCATATGTTATCAAATATATCTCCTTTGTCCTCTATTTTGTAAATCATTCTCTCAAGCACTTTGTTTTTCAAGTTGAATTGTCTTGGCTAATTCTGACAGGATTTGTCTGTCTTCACTGTAGTTTCAAGGTTATTGTACACCTAAATGTTATTTAAGTGGCCATTCTCTTATATCCCATCCACAAAGATGGAGTCTGTTCCTTTCCTGGCAGGAGAGACACATTAGAATTCTGAATATTGACATTCACAATTGAGGAGATTCTGAATGCTTCCATCCTGCTGCTTTGTCTCCAGATTGTGGATTTGTCATGTTGCCTTCAAAAATCCCCCATTTCATCTCCTTGGGTTGGTAATTCACAGGTCATAGATATCAGAATCTGGATTATATCTTTCAGAGTAGCAGTCGTGTAGTCTGTATCCGCAAAAAGAAAAGGAGTACTTGTGGCACCTTAGAGACTAACAAATTTATTACATCTGTTAGTATTCAGTTTTAGAATCTGATTGCCTCCCTTTTAAAACCCCAGGATTGGAGCAAATGTAAAGTCAATAATATGTTTTTAGGATAATTAAAGTCCGGTCTGCAAGTCATAACTATGTTGTTTTAAATATGTTTGTCTGCACTGAATTTAAAACTTAATTCTAAACATTCATTAATTCTAAACCCTTGTCTCCTGAGGGTTCCTGTTCCGGGTAGGTCAATTTACAAGCTGCTCTGTTGGACCAGATGCAGCTGCTGCTGGGTTCGAGTCTCCTAATTACAACTTTAATGTATTCTCTCAGAAATGTGTGCCAGTTTCTTCATTCTTTATCAAGCCTATTCCCCATAGTAACAAGTCACAGCATCCATTTTGCGTCTCCGATTTAATTGAGCATACAAATTGTGTCCCATAGGAAAAACCCCAGTTAAATGACACACACTATACAAACTAGTTCATTTATTTTTTCCACTCCAGGAGATTGACCACTTGCAGTGTGTCTCACTTTATAACAGATTTGTTATATTTTCTTATTATATGGTACCATTTTTATCAACAAATTACTATTCAGCTGTCTGTCTTCGTTATCTGGAATCCAATAAACTTTTGTTGCAGTGGTTAAAATGTATAGCTCAGCAAAAACATTCTATTCTGTCAGTTTCCTGTTGCTGTCGGTTTCTGTTACGGCATACTAGACTCACCACCCTTTTTCTACAGACTATGGGGACATTTTTGCATGCAGTCTGCTTTTGAAAATTTCAGAAATATCCCAAACATCTGAAAAACACTTAATCTTTAAAATCAGGCTTTTCAGAGGTTCTCTAATGTGAAATGAAAATCTATAATGGCCAGATGTCTTCTGCTGTTTACCTTCATTTCCTTACTGACAAGGATTAAATGAGTTTGCATTCAGCAGGGAAATAATTAATTTTAGGGAGAAAGGGAGCATGTCAAATTATGTGTGGGAGTGGGCAAAAATAAAAATTGGGTACTGGTTTTATTGTAATCATCAATAGTAAAAACATGATACCTGTGAGGTTACAGTACAGTTATTACCTCTTTCATTGTTTGGAAAGTTTATATAAATTAAAACATTTAATAATTTCTCATATCTTTTCTTTCTGATGCATCTCTTTAAAATCTTATGTTAAATTAGTATTTACTTAATTTTAAAATAAGTTTTAAGAGTATAACATTCTATTTGTATATTTGTATGTCAAAATTATATCAGAAGGTGCTGGATTTTTAAAAACATGATACTATGAGGCTGCTAGTTAACATCTTACTCTTTCTTTTGTTTATCAGTTTCATGAAATAAAACATCTTACTACAATATTCGGCTAATCAGCAGTTGATAAGCTTATTTACTACACAGTGCTAAATATGTTGATTTTAATATACAATTTAGCCATTCAAACATAATGGCCAAGATTGCTCAACTTGAGACATCTTAAACTTGCCTAATGTTCAGAAGGCATGTGCTTAGCATTCTGGAATTCTAGGCCCCTTTTTAAATACCTCAAGTTAGGTACCCAAAGTCATTATTCACTTTTGAAAGTCTTGTTCAATATATTTTGAGAACTTTAGTTTTAAGCAGTATGTGTAACTTCCACCTACTTTGTAAAATCCTTCCCTGTATTGAAGTATGTTTGTTTGATTTAAGCTGTCATCCGTAGGATTTCTTAACTATTAGCAGAGGTTTGCTGAAGTAGAATGATGGTACTGCTTGGTATTCTTCCCCTCCTAGCATCTACTCTGTCACTGTATCAGAGTGTACTAAACATACAAATGTCACCTTGCTAGGTGCAGAGGAACAATTTGTCTGTTCTACTGTTACATTAATTTAGAATGGAAGAGGTATACAGGACATTTTGCTTAGGATCTGATTCTTAAAAGTGATAGGATGTCCTATGTCTTCTGTTGTTAATTCCACATCATGCTTTTGCTTCTCATTTTATTAACTGAAGATTTTACATCATACGTATCCCTTTTGCGTTTTGTCACCTTTGTCTTACCTCTTTGTAGTGTAAAATATTGCTTGTTACTGTTCCTCTTAATTCCTTTCAATAGTGAACTTCTGAATTCCTTCAAATAATTGGGGCATTAAAGTGTTTTCTGAGCTAGCGATATAACAAAATGAATTGGTGATTAGTCATCTTCAAGCATTGTGATATTTAAGCACTTTCTTACATAATACGGAAACTGTTACGCCTTTTTTTAAATAAGAAATTTAAAAACCGTTACATCTAACAATTAGATGTGCCAGCAGTTTCAGATCCATATGTACCTTGAGGTTACCACTACTTTGACTAGACTAGAATAATAAACTTAGGCTAATCTTAGAGTCCTGCTTTTGTTTTATGATATAAAGGGAGTGTATCGTTCCTGGCTGCTGGGAGGGAGGGTGTCCTTCCTCCTTTCTTCTCCCCTCTCAGTAATGAAAGAGAATTCTGGTGTCAGTCAGTCAAGGACAAATGCAATTCCCTGTGTTTCACTGATTGTATGTTTGTGGAATATGTTGTGGCTGATTCTGGTCCTCCATCCCAGCTTCTATATGCTGTTGAAAAGTAGCCACAATGGACTGGGGAGAATCCTCCAACATAGAGCTGACAGATGTGGCCCCATACTGCTTGTCTTTATGAACTGCAGCATAGAGGAAATGGTGGGGTTGGTAGTGGTGTACTTAACACCACAGGGATTATGGGCTCTAGTACATGGACAGCTGTGAATGAAGGCGTGCTTGTAAAATAGAGGAGCACAGGGGCTGCTCTAACTTATGTCAGGGACCATTTTTGGTCTCTGCAGCAGCACAGAGTCTATGAGAGACAGACAGGTGGTTTAAAGGAGAGAGAATCTGCCCTGTTGAGTGCTAGCTGGAAATTCTTCTACCATGTATTGATATATTTTTGGTTTTCAGTTCTTTTGCTTATGAAAGTATCTAAATATAAACTTTGAACAGAGATAAAAAGTTGAGCACTTTTGATATTCAATGACAACATTTAGAAATAGTGCATGCAGTGTGGAAGTGTGCTATATGCAGTACGTAGACACATAAATATATTTTGAATAAACATCTATTCATACATAACTTGAATTTAAAATGAACATGTATGCAGGCTTTATTAAAACTAAAACATTAATATTCAGTTGATTTTGTTGATTATTTTATTTTTGTATTTGTTATTCACTGTTGTACTTTTTCATTACAGAATGTATGACAATATGTCCACAATGGTGTATCTAAAGGAAGAGAAGTTGGAGAAGCTTACTCAAGATGAAATAATTTCTAAAACTAAGCAGGTGATTCAGGGACTAGAGGCACTGAAGAATGAACACAATTCCATTTTGCAGAGCTTACTTGAGACATTGAAATGTTTGAAGAAAGATGATGAAACTAATCTGGTGGAAGAAAAATCAAACATGATTCGAAAGTCGCTGGAAATGTTGGAACTTGGACTTAGCGAAGCACAGGTAAAATTGAAGCAGGGGAAATCATTTCAAGCTGTGTCTGCAGTTATGATATGAAAGCAAATGCAAACTTATGTCTTTTTGGACTGTGCTTTTGTTAGAGGTGTAGAATTGAACACTTGGATATCAATTCTTAGACTTACACAGAATTTATTAAAAATTAGCAGTGTCAGTTTGCATTCAGAAGTTTTTAAAACCTGATTATAGCTTGTAGGGAAGTAGGTTGAAATAACTATATAGAGTGACTGACAGTGGTGGTTTTAGTGCATTATGCAGCTAATTATGCATTGAGCATTAAATCTTGGTCCACTGAAGTAACACACAGCTATTCTTTGATTGACTTTAGTGAAACAAGAATTTTTATTTTATATATAGGCTTTCTTGTGGCACTTGCCATGTAGTGTCTGAGCACCTCACAGGTATTGATGATGCTCACAACAACTCTGGAGAGTTAGGAAAATGTTATCCTCACTTTATATATGGGTAACAGAGGCACAGAGAAATTAACTAACTTGCCTGAGGTATACAGAGCTGGGAATAGAACTGCTGAGTCCCAGTCCAGGACTATAATTTTAAGACCATCCTTTTTGTCCCTTGAATTTAGGATTATTTTTCTAGTACTTGGTACTGGTAGGGCATAAGGGTCTCTAATGTTCACCCAACATTTTAGTAAAATTAAAAAAAAAATAGTTTTGAGGGTTGGCTAAAAATTGAGTACTGAATCAGAGGAACTTTCCTTGTTTAAAAGAGAGAATCCCTCTACTGACTTTTTATGAAATGGCTTGGTTGCAAAAAATGTTGTTTTGGGGAAGGTGGGCAGATGCTGAAAAACATGATTTGTATGTGCATGAGTGAGGGCCAGAGAAGGGCATGTGATCTGCAACAAATTAGTTTGTGACTTCAGACTATTTTAAAAATATTTATTTTCAAAATGCTTTTTTACCAATTTGAATTCTTTTTTTTCAAGTTTAATATGCAAAGTTGCAAGAGATAACAAGAATGGTAGGACAACCAGTCTTTGGAGAGTGTGAAACCTTCCAACCCTTGTATAAGAACATATCTGTTGGCATTTTTTTATCAGTTATGTGGGGTCTTTAAAGTTAGCTTTTGTGGGTGTTTGTAGAATATCCTTATAGAAAAATAAAGAAACAGAAAAGGAAAACTGCTTAAGGCACTGGATTTAGACTCAGGAAATGAGACTCAATTCCTGGCTCTGTCAGAATTTTCCTGTGTGCCCTTGAACAAGTCTTTGAATATCTTTGTGGTTCAATTCCCAATATGTAAAATGAGGATAACGGTACACCACTGTGAGATAGAGAAACTCTGTGTGTGTGTGTGTAAATTCATTAATATTTGTGTGACACAGATTTTTTTCCTCTGAAGATAATACTCATTTTGCTAAAGGAGTAATCTAATTTCTCCTTTCACTTTCCCACCTCCACCAAAATTTCTCTAGAGAGTAAGTTTACAGAAGACTTCAATTCATTGTAGTATGTTATAAATCTGATAGCTACAGGCATTGTGAATAAACTGGGCAACATTTTTGCCTGGCTTTCCCAAATATACTTGAAATGTTGTGTGTACAACTGGTTACATGCAGATGAGCTAATTACTTATCTGTATTTTACATGTGTAAAAAATGGCTAAGTTTGGAAAGACCTGCTGAAAATTTGATCTTCTATGTAGATGGACTGGTGTGTATAAATATTAAATATCAGCCTGAAATTGATAGTTGTTTCCTGAAAGTTTATTCAACATATGAATACATTTACCCTAAAGATATCCTTTAAAGAACGATGTGACCGTCTGAAAAACTGAAATTTTAGTTAACATGAATCTTGCATATAAAAATATTCAGGTTCTGAGATGCTCAAAGCTAACTTTAAAAGAAACCTTTTTATGAAATCAAGGAAAGTGAGAACATAAATCAAGGTGGCAAACTCCTTCTCTGTGTATAGCCAAATGATCTCTTTAATTATATATAAGCCAGGCTTACAAAAGTGAAGGCCATAAGATGCCTGTGATCCATACCAGTTTTCACACTGCTGTCAGTGGGAGATTTGCACAAACAATGAATGTAGAATATGGTCCTTACATAGTAGTTAGTAAAATTACTTTTTACTCCTGAGAGCATTTTGCGCCAAACAATTCTGCGCACAATATCTTAAAATTCTGTAAATTTTATTTGTCAAATAAATGTGGAGGCTCCAGCATGGCATTGGGGCTCACAGGCCACTGGCTGCACAGAGGTGGGAGATCACTCTGCAGCTCCTCCCCACCCCGCAGGACATGGACTCAGTGGTGAGGCTGCACCCAACCCTGACAGAACACAATGACTGAGCCTGCCCCCAAAACACCCCAGAGCCCTGCCCCTCCACGCCAGGTGTACCAGCTGTGAGCAGACAGGCTCAGCCCAGCAAGATGTAAGTGTGGAGGGACTTAGTGTGTGTGGGGAATCCAGGTGTGGGTTGAGAGATTCTGTGGGGGGCAATATGGGTGTGGGTGGCTCAGTGGGGAATCTGGGGGTGCAGGAGATCTGGATGCACAGGGGCTTGTTGGCGGGTTCTGGGTACAACGCTAATGGGATGGACTGGGCAGGAGGGGTCCAGGTGAAAGTGGTTGGGGCTCAGCAGGGGTGTGGGCGGGGATAGAGTCTGGTTCAGTAGGGGGGTCCAGATGTCTGGGGAGTGGGGCTTGGTGGGGTGGGGATCCGGGTGTGGGTGGCTCGTCGGGCTGGTTCATGTGCAGAGAGAGAGTGGGGCTCACTGCGGGCGGGCGGGTGGTTCAGAGTGCAGGAGGGGGGTGAGGCTTGGCGGGAGGGTCTGGGTATGAGGGGGTGTGGGTGCACGAGGGTTATGCAGATGAGGGAGCAGCTCCCCATACAGTGATCCCTGCCCCTGCAGCTGAGGAGTGATGGTTGTAGGAGGCGGGTGGCGGGGTAGTTTGTAGAGTTTCCTGCAGCCTGGGGAGAAGTCTGGGATAGGTCTGACTCGGCCCTGAATGCCGTGCAGGGGAAGAGGAAGTCCTGTTTTCCCAGGCCAGCTTGGACTAGCAGCTGAGCCTGGCTCAGGGTAGGAGCCACCAGCTGGATCTTTCCCCTGCCCCACAGAGGTTTACCTCTCTGCTGGCTGCCCTGGGCACCCAAAACATACTACTGGTGAGGGTCACATGACTGCTCTTGTGGCTTCCCTTTGCTTCCCTGTCAGAAAATCATTTTTCTGTGGAGAAGCAAAAAAAACTGCAGGGGACATGAATTCTGTGCATGCGCAGTGGAGCAGAATTCCCCCAGGAATAACTTTTGCATTTAGCAGTATTAATGAGAAAAAACAATGCAGGAGGTTTTTAGATAGACACTGCTCTTTGTCCTTTGTTGGGTATATATGTGTGCAATTACCTGTCTTGTATGAACAGTTGTAATTGTACATAATTGTATATGCAGGTCAGATGTACAGTTGCACACCTTAGATTATTTGAATCCTATGATTATTTCCCCTTGAAGCATTATTAGGCTGGAGAATTAATACCCTATTGAGATGAATATTGGCAGTTCATAAACCTACCTTCACAGACAGTTTGATATAGGTGCTCAACTACTGCTCTATTTTGGGTTACATTTGGAAGGTTTCTTTGCAACCATACGGGCTAGAAACTTAACACATATATTAAAATGAAAGCTTACATTCTGCAGAATGTGAATTTTTCATGGAGGCTGAATAACATAATCAATTATGATTTAACATTTGCATTTCACGTTCCGGTTTGCAAACTTACAGTTGCATTTATGTAGGTTTTTGCATACATGTTAGGTACTTTGTGACCTTTGTCCAGCTATTCCAGAAGGATAGGAGACTTGATGATGTGATTTAATTAGGGCACAACTTTATTCCTAAATGTCTGGGAATCCTGGCAGAAAAAACTGCAGTGGAGGTAATTCCATAACCATTTACATATATGCAGGGGGCTGCTGTCAGTCCTCCTTTTTTACCCATTCTAGTATGCAGCCAACCTGCTGCTGGGACCTCACCATCACCCCCTCAAATGAGAGTTCAGGGGGCTTTTGAGGGGGAGAGAGGTTGATTTTCTGCTATACCTGTCATAGGAGCCCTGAAAACCATTTGTGCCCTACAGAGTACCTGCACTGGGTATCTACCCCAAGCTTACATAATAAGTTGCAACATCATAACCTAATCTCGGTTCCATATTTTTTGCCCTAACTAAGCTCCCAACCCACTGTGAGGAATGTGGATAAAACCCCCACCTCATGTTGGCCAGTCTGGTGAGGGGTCAGGGGGATGGGAAAGAATTTTTCTCCTCACCAAGAAAGGAGCGACTAGTATAATGGGTACAGTGAATCATGACTAAGGCGACTAGTTTGTCACAGAAGTTATGGATTCCGTGACTTTCTGTGACCACTGTGACTTCTGCAACAGCTGGTGCACCTGGCCCGGGGGCCACCTGAGCAGCTCAGGCAGCCCCTGGGCTAGTCGCACTGGCCGGTTCTGGGGCAGGCTCGGGCCACCATACCCCCCCCCCCCCCCCCAGCAGCAGCAGGAGTTTGGGTATGGGAGAGGGCAGGGATTTGGGGCACGGGATGGGGTGAAGGCACTGGGTGGCACTTACCTCGGGGGGGGGGGCTTCCCGAACCAGCGACATGCCCCTCCCTCAGCTCCAAGATGGAGGCATGGCCAGGCAGCTCTGCACGCTGCCTAGGAGCTGAGTGCGGAGGGGATGTTGCTGCTTCCGTGGAGGTACAGAGCCAGGTAGGGAGCCCCCCTGGCTACCCTCCCCCATCACCTGTGGTGGGGAGCCCCCCTGGATCACCCCCCGAGCACCTGGGCTGACACCCCTCCACCCCCAAGCACCTGTGGTAGAGGCGCCCCCCGCAAGCATCCAGAGCCCCTATCCTCCTCCTCCCCCCGCTCCCCCAAGATTTAGTCAGGGGTATATAGTAGAAGTCATGAATAGGTCACGGATTGTGAATTTTTGTTTACTGCCCATGACCTACCCGTGACTTTTACTAAAAATACCCATAACTAAAACGTAGCCTTAACCATGACAAAACCTGGTATTTTAACTACTACCAAGGATGGCAGGGTATGTGCTGCTCTGCCTTGTTCAGGTAAAAGAGCATTTTTCCTGCACCAGCATGGACATAATTGTCCCCCTTCTCTTCTGGTCACCTGGTGGGGATGGTTCAGTGTTCCCATGCTGACCTGGTATGAATCTGCCATAACAAGTAATTCTGTGGCTGTGTAACCCTTAAAGGGGCCACACACCATTTCGGACAAGGCGGAAAACAGCCTGTATTACTTCACTTGTGGAGAGGTTGTTCCCAGCTATCAAAGTACATTACTATAAACAGCATTCAAGGTAGCCAACTTATAAAAGCTGCTGTATGTTACATCTTTAAAAACAATCACACCACAGCATAGGGGTAAGAATTTCTTCAGATTAGTCTCAGCTGAGCAGCAAGCAAAGCTGGCAGAAGTAGAGAGAAATCAACAACCAAATGGAAATTATGAAAAGGGCCAGACAAACATTAACAGATTTCACAAGTGCAATGGTATCTATGCATGAAAAGCCTTATATGTTAATACTAAAGGAATGCATTGTACAGGAAGAATGTATTGTAGTCTCTCGTGCTTTTTAGGTAATGATGGCCTTGTCAAATCACTTAAACGCAGTGGAATCAGAGAAGCAGAAATTGCGTGCTCAGGTTCGCCGGCTATGCCAGGAAAATCAGTGGTTGCGTGATGAACTAGCCAGTACTCAACAGAAATTACAGAAGAGTGAACAGTCTGTGGCTCAGCTGGAAGAAGAAAAGAAACACTTGGAATTCATGAATCAGTTAAAAAAATATGATGATGATATTTCTCCATCAGTAAGTAGATGTACATTCAAAAGCATTGTGTCTTTTTGTTAGTAAGCTGCCAAGAGCTTTTTATTCGCAGATATGAATTTTTAGCAGTTAAAACAGGCATTTCATATATAGATTTTAATTTTATAGATTGATTTCTTCATATATTTATATTGTCCTAATCTTACGTAGTTTATACATTCACACAATAGAGAACTGCTTCCCAGAATCTTTATTTCAGGAAGACCTATATTTTATAGATGATAGAGTAACTACACTGTAGACTTGAGGGGGTAAAAGTCCAGCTATAGTAAAACACTTATACCTAGCAACACACTAGCTTAAAAATTTACTTGGAAAATTATCTTCAGAAAGCCATAAAATGTCTGTTTTAAACCTCACAATAAAAGGAGAATTGAGGATAAGGTGTATAAATTGTAGATATAAAAGGAAACTGCATTATCTGGAGCAGTCTGGAAGATGATTTTGACCTAGATAGTGGTCTCACTATTTTTTATTATTTAATATTTGTATTAGCACTAGAGGCTCTAGTCAGGAAAGGGGCCCCATAGTGTTAGGCATTGTGAAAACACAGACACAGTCCCTACACTTTACAGTTTAAGAGGGCAAGTGACATATGAAGGGTTGGGAAAATAGGAGTGCAAGCAAATATGTACAGTTTTAATTTTATACATATGTATACCCTTGCAAAAGTGATTTTCATAATTTTAAATAAAGTAAGTGCTTGGTAACCTACCTGCCCCTCCAGCCATCATTGGTTGATTTATGGGCATTATCACAGAAATGGATCTCATCTTGTAAGTTGTTACAGTCCAGATGGTGTCTGTCTATTTCAATCAATTGTTTTATTTTCTTCTGATCTATTATTGCAACAGTTCAGGAGTGGCAAAATGCATGCGTTTAGACATGCTAATCAACTGCTAGACAAACCCTTTCTAGCACAATGTGAATACAGTGAATTGTTTTGGTCAGGTAGTCAGCTGCATGCAATGCAAGGAAATCTAAAAAAGCTAAAACTTGTTTTAAAAGGAAAAAAAAGGCCAGTGAAGGCTATTTTTTTGAGTCTTGGTTCATAATTATGTTCTTAAGCATATGGAATACTACCTAAATAATAGGCTAAACAAGGAATTATAATCTTCAGACAGGATAAAATATCCTAGCACCTCCATGCTTTCGAGCAAAAAACCTTAAAATTTGGCAGGCGCATAGTGTGAGGTCAGTAGTGCCCCTTTTCCTGTCCTTACAAAGATCCACGTAGATCTGACTGAGTTAAAAACCTCTGAAATAAGATTGCCAGTGCAAATTTAATTCAGCTGTCTTGTGCATATGCATTGAGATAGTCTTGCCCAGCATCACATAGGACATCCTGTATGCATATCTTTAATAATAGATTTTTATATATAATTGTATATAAATGTTTTCACTGATTTTAGATTTAATAATGTAACATTTTGTTTGGGACTGGGGTTTGTATAGGAAGACAAAGACACAGATTCTACCAAAGAACCTCTGGATGACCTTTTCCCCAATGATGAAGATGACCCAGGGCAAGGAAGTAAGTGAACTTCAGATTATATAATTACAGTATATTTCTGCAGAACAGAAGCTTGGTTTTATCTTCAGGGAAATAACCAATCATCAATTCCTAGAGTGCTCTGGTCCAGACACACTGCAACATAGACAACAAGGGCAATTGCAGCTTTTAGGATTTATTGTATGCAGTAAATTATGATATAATGAAGATAAAAATGTTTCCCTTATGCACTTTTCTGTAATTTCTTACTCCAGCACTGACTATGTTCATCCCTTCCAAAGGGTGGAAGACAGGAAAGCTGATTTATGAGGATGTTGTTCCCACTACATAAGAAGGGTGGGCTAGTCTAAGCTGTTTTTTTTGTTGTTGATTTTGTTTTTAAAAAGCTTGCTAACTACCCCTGACCTCATTAGGAGCTAATTTCAATACAAAATTAGGCAGTAGCTTGCTAACTTAGGCAGAGAAGCTTTAGACTCCCAGTGTCAGGACCTGTTTCAGTCAACCTTGAGACTTGGTAATCTGCCCAGGTAGTGGGTTCTATGGTGACCTGTATGGTTAACTTCCCTGGGCAGGCTTCCATATGCAGCCTCATCAGTTCAGTTTTGTCACTCATAAGGACTATGATTTTTGCAGTTAATACTCCCTCCAGAGATGTTATCCTCTCAAGGCTGAAGGGTTGATGAGTTGGATGTAACACTTGAGTTACACCTTTATCATTATTTATGTTACCATAACAGCTAGGAGCCCCAGTTATGGACCAGGACTCCATTTCGCTATGTGCTTTATGAGCATAGAACAAAAAAGATGGTTCCTGCCCCCAAAGAGATTACAGTTTTACGTATAAAACAGGAAACAACAGATGGATACAGACAGACCATTGGGATAGGATAAGGAAACAAGATAATATTGGTCAGCCTATGGTGTCCGCACACCAGCGGCCTCAACCATTGGCAATTTTTTTGTAGGCATCAAAGAAAAGGAGAGTTTTAAAGAGGATAATGAGGTAGGTTTGCAGATAATTACCAGGGAGCTTCTCCCAAGTCTGCAAGGCAGCATGGGAGAAAGCGTGGTGGTGCTTGTTTGAAAATTCAGCAAGTGCGCAATAGAAGATGTCATGATAGGTCCGATAGGCATCTTAGTCGACCTCTAGATAATAAATAATAGATGATGGTCTCTTAAAGGGCCTTGAAAGTGAAGACCTGTAGTTTGATCCAAAAAGGAAGGGGAAGCTAGGGGATGCAAAGAGACGGGTAACATAATCAAAGTGAGAGTTTAGAAAAACATAGACAACAAAAAAGCAACTGCAGCTTTTAAGATTTATTGTATGCAGTAAATTGTGATCTAATGAAGATAAAAATGTTTCTCTGATGCGCTCTTCTGTCTTTGCAGCAGCCTTCTGAATGGATACGAGTAGGGCAAGTCTGCATTGTCAAAGCCAAAGAAAAGGATGTGTGGTGGTAGCAGGCATGAGATGATGAGGATGTTAGCTGTGTGGATGGATAGAAAGGCTGTATATTAGAGATGTTATGCAGAAAGAAACAGTGGGATTTAGTCATAACGTGGATTTGAGGATCTAGAAAGATATGAGTCAAAGATAATGCCTGTGTTACAGGCTTCAGTGACAGGCAGGATGGTGGTGGTATACAGTGCGGGAGCTCTGTTTTAGCCATATTTAGATTGAGATGACGGCTAGATTCCATGAGCCGATATTAGAGAGAGAGAGGCTGAGATTTTAGTTTGGACAGAAAGAGGCAGATCTGTAGTAGAGAGGTAGCTCTTTGAGACATCAGCATAGAGATGTAGTTTGCCCAGATATAAGGTGAGAGGAAGAAGAGGGGGAACCAAGACAAAACACTGTGGAATTCCCATAGAAAGTTGCAGGCTGGGAAAGAGGAGGATCCTCTGAAGGAGCAGTAAAAGGTAGGGGAAGAACCAGGAGAGGCTAGAGTTACAGAAGCCAAGGAGAAGCATGGTCGACAGTGTAAAGGGCAACTGACACATCAAGGTGGATGAGGATGGAGTACCGGTTCATGGAGATAATCAACAATCATATAAATGGAAGAAAGGGGAGACGGGACAGGGAGGAGAAGGCTGAGAGCTAGGCTAGGAAAAGGCCAGAGCTTTGGCTAGGAAAAGGTCATAAGACACTTTGGCAAGAGCAATTTCAGTTGAGTGTAAGCTGCGGAAGCTGCATTTGAGAGGCTCTAGGCACTCCAGGCAGCAATAGTAAACAGCATGCTCAATGAGCTTAGAGCTGAAAAATTGGGGTGGTAATTGGAGAGGCAAGTGAGGTGAAGGTTGGGTTTTTTAAAGATAGGAGAGACTAACATATGTTTGCATTGTGAGGGGAAAGAGCAAGAGGCTTAATAAAGCGTAAGGGAAGTGATGAGTGGATGCAAGGGATTTCAGGAGATGGGATGGTGTTACTGGTGCAAGCGGAAGAGTTAGATGGGAACAGCAGATGAGAAACTTCTGCGTCTGTGACAGGAGACAAGGAGGTAAGAGTTGTAGGAGGGGGTAGGGAAGGTCATGTTGTAGTTTGTCAGTTTTCTTGTGGAAGAAATTGGCAAGGTCCTGTGCTGAGAGAAGAATAGGATTTGAGAAGAGAGTCAAAGGTGGCAAAAAGTTGGCTAGGATTGTGGGCATGGGATTCAATTAAATTGAAGAATTAGAGTTGTTTAACTAGGATGATGTCAGAACTGACGGAGAAGAGACAAATTTGTAGTGGAGGAAGTCAGCCTGGTCATGGAATTTCTGCCAGAGAAGATCTGCAGTGTCAGAGCAGGAGCAGAGGAAGTGCATGTTGGGGGTGAGCCAGGGCTGGGGATTAGCAGGGGGAGCTTTGTGATGGAAGAAAGGGGCAAAAGAAGTAAGGGTGGAGGAGAGCGAAGCATGGAGATAATCAACAATCATATAAATGGAAGAAAGGGGAGAGGGGACAGGGAGGAGAAGGCTAAGAGCAGATGACAGTTCTTCAGTGCTGATGGACTGGAAGGCAAAGAAAAGGAAGGGGACTAATGGGCGATGCAAAAAGAGACCAGGTGGTGGTCACAGGAGAGACGTCACAACATAGGATCAGAGGGAGCAGAGTGTTTGGTGAAGACCAAGTCAAGTGAATAGCGTGGGAAAGTTGGGGCGTGGGAAAGTTGAACCAGAGCTTGGGGTCAAATGAAGAGGAGAGGGTGAGGAAATGCATAGCTAAAGGATCAGATGAGTCATTAACAAGGAAGATGAAGTCACCAAGAATGAATGAAAGTGTAAGGAGAGAAAGAGCCAGGACTGTAAATCGGAGCAGAAGTCTGATGGGGAGGAGAGTGTGGGAGAAGGAGAGGCCTCCGTAAGAGAAGGCAACTACAGAATCAGTGTAGGATCCAGGTCTCTGAGAATCAGAAGCTAGAGGGAGCAAGATATGAAGTGGTTGTGGATGACAGATCTTTTTAGAGATGGATTGGGTGTTCCAGAGACAAAGAGAGGAGCGGAAGAGGTGAGGAAATGGAGCAGGACAGGTATGAGGTTAGGAATGGTGACAGAATAGGTAGAGTTGATGGGAGGGAGAGGTGTGGGAGGTGAAGAAGTTGATGAGGGAGGGAATGCCAGGATTGGAACAAAGGTCACCAAAGATGAGGAGGTGGCAGTAGACGAGGTGTGGATGTGTGATTTGGATTTGTGATGGTGGGAAGAGAAGGGAGATTGGAATAGAGAGAAGAAGAGAAGTAGGTATAGTTAGTGAGAATTGTTATGGGGTGAGGGTAATAAAGGAGGGGAAATGGAGCTAGTGTGAGGGGTAGAGGAGGGAGGAAGAGAAGAGATGTTGTTGTGATGCAAAGAGAAGAGGGATGTGTTGAGAACCATAGAAGAATGACAGGGGGATGAGGTAACAACAACAAAAACTCCAAACCCGACCTGAGTTCAAAAAATATTTTGAAGGCATGCTTGCATGTCCCCCTGCTAGATGGCTGCAGTGCTTTCTCCCACCCTGCAAAGGAGGAGGGGAGTAGCCATCTGGGGTCCAGTGCTGGGATGTCTGGGCAGTGGGGGGTGTTTCCTTGGTGCTTGCAGTCCTTATATGGTAGTTCAGTTAAATTGTTGATGGTTAGGAATTGTTTACTGAAATACCGAGGCTTTAAAAAATGTAAATCAACAAGAGTGTGAGACTGGTTCTATAAAATCTAAAACAGAATTGCTATGGAGACCTGTTGGTGATAGTCACCTGAATCAGGTTTCTCTTCAGATGCAGCAATTGTGATGTGTATTGTGTGGGGCTTGAAAGGAATAGTAGAGAAAATCATTAAGATTTTATTTTGGGCTGAAGCTCATCTTCTAGGCTTCTTTGAAGTCCACATACTGGTAACACTTATGTTGAACTGCAGAGCCATACCCACAGCTGTCCAGTCCATCCACCATTTATTTGGTCAGCTAGAAAGCAGGACGGTCTTTAGGTGACTCTTTTGACCACCTGTCGAAAGGTGCTTGTGTTCTTTAGGCTCTGGTGGTAGATGCCTGGTTTCATCCCTGGATTATCAACTAAGTCTACATCTTCCTCCCTATGCTAGGCAGGGTGTTGAACTTGCTAGAGAGATAGGACAGGTCCACACTACAGACCTATATCGATATAATGACATTACTCAAGGATGCAAAAAGTCCACATCCTTGAGCGATGTAGTTATACTAACCTAACCCCCCGCGTAGACAGTGCTATGTTGACGGGAGAGCCTCTCTTGTCAAAATAGCTACTGCCTCTTGGGGTGGTGGATTAACTACGGTGACAGGAGAAGCTGTCCTGTTGGCATGGGAGCATCTGCATTAAAGTGCTACAGTAGCACTGCTACACTGGTGCAGCTGTAGCATGTACATGAAGAGAAGCCCATAGTCCTCATGGTTGTCAAGATGTAATTTGATGAAGGCAAACCTGAAGGGGATAGGTGGAATGGGGCTAGAAAACAAAGGTTATAATTACAAGAACATACAGATGGTTTATCATATGCATCTTGTTTATCACATATTTGAAAGACAAAAACATCGTAATTAATTTTTTTGCTTGTTTGGGTTATCTTAGGAATGGAGAAGGGAAAATACTAGTAGCTAAAGCAGTGGTTCTTGGCCCATGGGCCGCTTGCAGCCCCATCAGCACACAGCTGCAGCCAATGTGACATCCTCAGGGCCATACAGGTAGTATTGGATATGGCCCACAGTGGTAAATAGGTTGAGAATCACTGGAAGGGAGAGCAGTGGGCAGAAAGGGGAAGAAGATCAGAGTGTGAAGTATAATGGGCATGGAGAAGAGGGTTGGGCAAGAATTTGCAAATGTAACAGCAGTAGTTTGTTTTGAACTGAATGATTCCACTGACATTAGAGTTTGCCAGGGCTGTGAAAGTGTCCCTTTGTTTGGTAGGGGCAGAGGAGCGCAGAAAGCCAGGCTGTCACTGCTGGAGCTCTGGTCCTTTGCTTTCAGTTTCTGGAATCAATGTGGTTCTACATTGGAGGAGACCTTTATAGCCCTCACAGAAACTTGTATGGAGAGGAGGGGGCAACAGGCTATTTCCTCCTGGTTCTGGGATGGAAATGCAGCTGCCATGAGTTGGGGGTAGAGAACCAGGTGAGCAGATTTCAAAGGAGTAGCAAACAAATTGAAGAGGCTGGTTGTAAAGGCTTGCTTCCCTTTTCTCTTGCTGCTACCGCTATTGGCATCCCTTCTAGGGTAGCATAGTGCTTTTATAGGCCACCACTGAAAGAGTGGTTGGAGAGGAGGGTAGGGCATGCGGAAGAAGATGACTACTGAGACTTCATACTCCTGGAGCAAGGGGATAAGGGAGGAAGAGTAGACGAACTCTAGTCACCTTCCTGTGGCTGGCTGGTGTTGCTTGTCTTCCCCTCCTCTTCCCCCTGGGTAACTTGGACCTTTAGTAGCTGTAACTGAGGACAGAATTTGGCCCTAAAATTGGAGCTTTGTTAATAATTCCATTGCTGTGTGAATCAGAATAGATCCCACCTCTCCCCGTAGCTTTTATTGGCTCACAGGGCTAAAAGGAGTAAAAAGTAGTAAAAAATATATACTTGTTCATAACTGGAATTATACTGTATTACATTACCTGAATTCTCTTTATCTGAAAATCCTAGTTATCCAAATCCACAGTATGTCCCCCAGTTAGCCCAATGTTAATAACTTGCTAATAACTTCTCGGTTAGCTTGAAGAAAAGGAGTACTTGTGGCACCTTAGAGACTAACCAATTTATTTGAGCATAAGCATCGGATGCATCCGATGAAGTGAGCTGTAGCTCATGAAAGCTTATGCTCAAATAAATTGGTTAGTCTCTAAGGTGCCACAAGTACTCCTTTTCTTTTTGCGAATACAGACTAATTCAGCTGTTACTCTGAAACCTGTTGGTTAGCTTGTAGCACTAATCAACAGCTTTGTATTTGTATATTGGTTTTGAGTGGTTACCTGTTGTTACTGAGGCCTAATCCCATTTTATCAGCAATAACACATTGTCAGGACATATTAAATTGTTTAATTTGAATTAATCAGAATAAATGATGTCCACAGTGGTTTTAATACAATTTTGGTGTTTTTAATTTACTCAATCACATTAACATTGTTTTTACTCTTTACTGAAAGTACAAAATATTAAGCAAACATCAGCATTACTCCCTTCGCTCCTGTATTTCTAGATCAGTGGAAAGAAGAGATCAAAATAGCACTTTTGTTTATCCGAACTCCCAGTTTTCCAAAACTTTCAGATGTCCCCCAGGCCATTTGGATAAATGGGAGTGAACTATGTGTCAGTCGGAATACTGACAGGGAGAAAATCTGCTTAGTATGGGAGTGCCATTTTTTACAGTCGTGTTTCAGAACAGAACCACACTTTAAAACAATTAGATTAATTTTAGTGTCTAGTTTCTGGGGAGCATGGATTTTTATTTCAAAATGGTTTCAGATAGGTTGCCTTCTTTTTGCAGTTCAACAGCAGCATAGCAGTGCTGCAGCAGCTGCTCAACAAGGTGGCTATGAAATTCCAGCAAGATTAAGGACTCTTCATAATCTGGTTATCCAGTATGCTTCCCAAGGTAGATACGAGGTTGCTGTACCCCTGTGTAAACAAGCACTTGAAGATCTGGAGAAGACTTCAGGTCATGATCATCCAGATGTTGCCACTATGCTAAACATACTTGCTTTGGTGTACAGGTTGGTATTCTGATATACATTTAAATTCTCCATTAACTAAACTTCTTTGTTTCTGTAAAGTTGACTAGAGGCCTTAATGCTGGAACTGCTATAAAAATGTTTTTGACAATTTTGTAGGTTCTAAATTTTTTATTTGGTATCACATGGGCATTTGACCTGCTCTGTCATGCCATAGTACACCAGGGTCTGGATGAGTTCCTGAATATCCTTCCATACCTCAGTTTTTGGAATGCTATTATTCATTTTGAAACTTAAACTATCCATCCATCCTAGATCATTGAGAAGACAGTCAGACAACTACCTCTTGGGTTATGCTAATGCTGTTGTAAATTGGGTGGCAAGATGTACATGTGCAGATAGTTCATTTCCAGTCCCTCAAAAAACTACTTAGTTTTTTGCACTGAGTCTGCATTTGAACCCTTCTCTTCTGTACTACAGCATTCCTAACCTGACACTGAAGTCAACTCCTACTTTTGCCGTTTATTATATTACAAGATTTATTTGAATGCTACTTCCTTTTTTTGTGAAACAGAGTAAAGTGTTAATTATGGTTTTCTAAAATTTAGGGACCAGAACAAATACAAAGATGCAGCAAACCTCTTGAATGATGCCTTGGCTATTCGTGAAAAGACTTTGGGCAGAGATCATCCAGCGGTTTGTATATCTGATTTTCATATTTTTAGTTGTGTTTTTCACTGACACTTTTTTTTTTCTTCCCCTGCCCAACTTATTCTAATATTAAACTCAACAGGAACATTTAAGATCTGGCTTGTCACTAAACAGTACAGGTAGGAGGCCACAATATAATATTCTGTGTTCTTTTAATATTTAACCTGTCTTTGAGCATTTTATTCATTTAAAACTCTTTCACCCCAAAATTACTCTGCTGCCACATTTATTTGATTATGAATCGAGTTGCATGGTCTGTATGTGGAAAAAATTAACTTCTGAAGGAATATTTTAATTAGCTTATTTTAAACAATTCAGTTGCTGAATTCATATAGAAATTGTACTTCTGATTTTACTGCCTCTGTTTAAAATAAAACAGATCATTCCAATCAAGCTGTTGGTGCTCAAGTCACTTTTAAAATTTAATTTGGTGATGTATTGCTTCATATAACCTATGTTACAGTGGGCAACTCTGTGAATCTGGATTTATGTAAAATAGCTTTATTTCTGAGTTGTCATATATAGAGCAAATTTATGCATTTAATCACATTTCAACGGGCTAATTAAATACATTTCACAGTTTTCTGTGTTCTCATTTAAGAGTTATTTCTTAATGCAGTGATTTTTGCAAGAGGCCTTCACTGTACATAGAGGATATGAATGCAGCAGTCCACTGTAAATATATTTCAACTGGTTCATTCTTTCACCAGGTATTCACTTCATATTTAATGTTTTTCTGCTGTTGACAGGTGGCAGCTACCCTAAACAATCTTGCAGTGCTTTATGGTAAACGAGGAAAGTACAAGGAGGCAGAACCTTTGTGTAAGAGAGCTTTGGAGATCAGAGAAAAGGTACAGAGTAAAAAACGGAAGCCTGACAATGGATATTTATTTTTTGTGAACTTCAACTTCTGCTTTTTAGAAAAAACTCAGTCTCTCGTATTTTGGTTGATTAGACGTACCAAGCAATACTAAATACCTTGGATAGAGTTATACAACTTCTTAAAATACAAAATTGTTTTAAGAAAATTAACTTCAAAATCTTGAGAGACTTTGGGTGTATTCTAAAGTTGTGCAATAACTGTAAAGTAAGAGCAACGCTGCAGGAAAAGGACATTTAGATATGTTCCTATTGGGTTGACTAGAGCATTTGAATACAAAATAAATGTATGCCATTTAAATATCTCAAGTTGTACTGCAGCAGAGAGTGAAAATGCTTATTCCAGTGCATTTGTCTGGCTGTCTGCACTGCAGTATGTTAAAACTGGTTAAGTAAGCTGTATGTTTTTGAAGTTATTCTATTACTTGAAAACTACATCTCCTGTTATGAATTATTTTGTTGCCCCCCAATTAGGATCTAATTGAATAATCCACAGATATATAAAAAAATGTTAGGCTTTTTATAGCTATTATAGGGAAATCCTTAAACTGTGGTAAGTGCAAAGCCATATACATGCTGACTAGTTTACTTGAATGCTGTTTAAAATGTTTTAATCCTGATAGAGATAATTGTTGACCTGGCATTAATGTAAATAGACTAACTCAAACAATTGTTTTAGAATCCAGGAAACAGGAAGAATTAAGACAAAAAAAATTTCTATCTGATAGGAACCCCCCCACCCATTACTCCGTACTTTCTGAGTAATCCATTTGAAATAGAGAAGTCTGCGTCAGCTTTAAATATTATTGAAAATGAGGTTTTTACTGAATTAAATATGAAAATGAATAATACAGTTGCTAAAGTAATCCTGTGATATTTTAATCTGCTGTGCAAATCAATTTGTTTCATACTGTCTGTAAATTTTAATGCGGTGTGAGATATTGTATTGCAAATACATAACTATTATAGAAGTTGTCAAAGGAGATGCAGGGTTATTATTTGGGAAAAAAAACAACTTGTGCTTTGGTCACCTGGAAAAGTTGAGGGGCAATTTTCATTTGTCAGGTAAGCCTGTCAACTTGATATTAAAATGATCAACAATGATAGTTACAATGTTAAGATTTAAATTGTACTATCTGGACATCAGAGTTCATAACGTTGAAATGAATGGGGTAGTCCTCATTTCTCAGGGCTACTGTTTCAGGCTTCTTGCAGACTTCTATGCTGAAGTTTTGTGTCAGTCTCCCACTGATGCTAGCTGTAGTGTGAGTGCTACTGTAAATTGCCTGCTGGAGTTCTTGCCACCATGTTTTTTAATCCTGTTCACTAGCACTCCAGCTATTGCTGACGTTGGTGGCACTTCACTGAAAGTAGAGGAGTTGTGGGAGAAAAGTGGATGGGAACCTGGGAGGCCGTGACCATGAGATGGTTGAGTTCAGGATCCTGACACAAGGAAGAAAGGAGAGCAGCAGAATGCTGACCCTGGACTTCAGAAAAGCAGACTTTGACTCCCTCAGGAAACTGGTGGGCAGGATCCCCTGGGAGAATAACATGAGGGAGAAAAGAGTCCAGGAGAGCTGGCTGTATTTTAAAGAATCTTTATTGAGGTTGCAGGAACAAACCATCCCGATGTGTAGAAAGAATAGTAAATATGGCAGGTGACCAGCTTGGCTTAATAGTGAAATCCTTGCTGATCTTAAACACAAAAAAGAAGCTTACAAGAAGTGGAAGATTGAACAAATGACTAGGGAGGAGTATAAAATTATTGCTCAGGCATGCAGGAGTGAAATCAGAAAGGCCAAATCACGCCTGGAGTTGCAGCTAGCAAGAGATGTTAAGAGTAACAAGAAGGGTTTCTTCAGGTATGTTAGCAACAAGAAGAAAGCCAAGGAAAGTGTGGGCCCCTTACTGAATGAGGGAGGCAACCTAGTGACAGAGGATATGGAAAATGCTAATGTATTCAATGCTTTTTTTGCCTCTGTCTTCATGAACAAGGTCAGCTCCCAGACTGCTGCACTGGGCAGCACAGCATGGGGAGGAGGTGACCAGCCCTCTGTGGAGAAAGAAGTGGTTCGGGACTATTTAGAAAAGCTGGACGAGCACAAGTCCATGGGACCGGATGCACTGCATCCGAGGGTGCTAAAGGAGTTGGCGGATGTGATTGCAGAACCATTGGCCATTATCTTTGAAAACTCATGGCGATCAGGGGAGGTCCCAGACAACTGGAAAAAGGATAATGTAGTGCCCATCTTTAAAAAAGGGAAGAAGGAGGATCCTAGGAACTACAGGCCAGTCAGCCTCACCTCAGTCCCTGGAAAAATCATAGAGCAGGTCCTCAAGGAATCAATTCTGAAGCACTTAGAGGAGAGGAAAGTGATTCAGGAACAGTCAGCATGTATTCACCAAGGGCAAGTCATGCCTGACTAACCTAATTGCCTTCTATGACAAGATAACTGGCTATGAGGATGAGGGGAAAGCAGTGGATGTGTTATTCCTTGACTTTAGCAGAGCTTTTGATACTGTCTCCCACGGTATTCTTGCCAGCAAGTTAAAGAAGTGTATGGGCTGGATGCATGGATGATAAGGTGGATAGAAAGCTGGCTAGATTGTCGGGCTCAAGGGGTAGTGATCAATGGCTCCATGTCTAGTTGGCAGCCGGTATCAAGCGGAGTACTCCAAGGGTCGGTCCTGGGACCGGTTTTGTTCAATATCTTCATTAATGATCTGGAGGATGGTGTGGACAGGGATAGGGTCCAGAGTAACCTAGACAAATTGGAGGATTGGGCCAAAAGAAATCTGATGAGGGTCAACAAGGACAAGTGCAGAGTTCTGCACTACAGAGTAGGGACCGAATGGCTAGGCAGCAGTTCTGCAGAAAAGGACCTAGGTGTTACAGTGGACGAGAAGCTGGATATAAGTCAGTGTTCCCTTGTTGCCAGGAAGGCTAATGGCATTTTGGGCTGTATAAGTAGGGGCATTGCCAGCAGATCGAGAGGATGTGATCATTCCCTTCTATTCAACTTTGGTGAGGCCTCATCTGGAATACTGTGTCCAGTTTTGGGCCCCACACTACAAGAAGGTTGTGGAAAAATTGGAAAGAGTCCAGCGGAAGGCAACAAAAATGATTAGGGGTCTGGAACACATGACTTATGAGGAGAGGCTGAGGGAACTGGGATTGTTTAGTCTGCAGAAGAGAAGAATCCGGGGATTTGATAGCTGCTTTCAACTATCTGAAGGGGGGTTCCAAAGAGGATGGCTCTAGACTGTTCTCAGTGGTACCAGATGACAGAACAAGGAGTAATGGTGTCAAGTTGCAGTGGGGGAGGTTTAAGTTGGATGTTAGGAAAAACTTTTTCACTAGGAGGGTGGTGAAGCACTGGAATGGGTTACCTAGGGAGGTGGTGGAATCTCCTTCCTTAGAGGTTTTTCAAGGTCAGGCTTGACAAAGCCCTGGCTGGGATGATTTAGTTGGGGATTGGTCCTGCTTTGAGCAGGGGGTTGGACTAGATGACCTCGTGAGGTCCCTTCCAACCCTGATATTCTATGATTCTATGATCTTATTTCAGAAGAAAATGGAGTGTAGAGAAAAATCAACAGGACATCATTGCATTGGCTTACACTCAATTCAAGTTTGTAAGAGTTTCTTCATAATCGTAAGAGCTAGAAACTGTTTTCTTTCAAACAGAAGTTTGTATTCTAGAGCAAATTCCATAGCCATGGAATTGCAGAATACACAAGACCCTGGTTATATACAGTAGTATAGGAATTGGAGAATAATTAAATGTACACATTTAGAAAAATTCTGTTGTGCTTCCCTCACTTTCAGGTTGACTACTCATTGGCAAAACAACATATAATTGCTGACCAAATGATTGTGTATAACACAATGCAAACTAGAAAAAAATAGAATATTTCTTCTTTGTGAGACTGAAAGATATCCTAAAACTTATTGGAATATATTCATGCAACGGACTTTTTGGAAGCCGTACTGAGAAGTTTATTTAACAAACATTAGTTTCTCTAATACATTGTAATCTTAGCCTATAAAATTTCAGTTTAACTTTGAATCTTGATTGAGTGCACAAAAGAATCTTTTAAAATTTACTATTAATGGAAAATGTCTAAACAATGTGATTTTTGTGAAAATGGTTGAAAATTAGATGCCTAATTGAGACCTTATTTGCCATGTCAGCCAAGAGGAGTCTTAGTGTTTACCTAATGTAAACGGGGCCCTCCTCCACTCTCAACTAAAAAATGGAATTTATAATGAAAATAGTGACTAAATCTTAATTATAGAAAAGTATGAGCAGTGTAAACTGCTAAAGTAAAAGAATGTAGTCTGATATTGAAATCAGAAAGAAAAAAGTTGTGGAAGATCATTTTAAGATCTTGCTTCTTTAAAATCTAATATAATAAATGGGGAATGTTTAATGTATGGTACCTTCATTTCCAGGTCCTGGGGAAGGATCACCCAGATGTTGCCAAACAATTAAATAACCTGGCCTTACTGTGTCAGAATCAGGGTAAATATGAAGAGGTGGAGTACTACTATCAAAGGGCACTTGAGATCTACCAAACTAAACTAGGACCAGATGACCCAAATGTAGCAAAAACAAAGAATAATCTGGTAAGTTTGTAACATAAAGTAAAAATAGGAAAACTTAAGCTTTGTTTTTTCTGATGTGCTAAAATAATTACTCCTTGGCGCAGAAGTCATATCTTCTGCAGATTTCTTGGCTCCCCTGAGAAATATGGGGAAGCAAAGAAATCTGAGGAACACCCCCACACACCATTCCCCAGCAGCCCTGGGGTGTTTGCTGGGAGCAGCTGGCAGCAGAGGAATCACTGGGGTGGGAGGAGGGAGGCTGGGCCTACGTATGTCCCCGGAGAGATGTTAAGGGGGTAGGTCTTGGTGCATGCGAACAAGTCTCAGGGCTTGTTTGCATTGGCACTTCGCAGCGCTGCAACTTTGTCGCTCTTGGGTGGGAAAAACACACCCCTGAGTGCAACAAATTTCAACACTGTAAAGTGCCAGTGTAGACAGTGCACCAGCGCCGTGATTCCCAGCGCTGGTAGCTAGGCCCCTTGTGGAGGTGGGATTTTTTAGAGCTCTTTAATGTTGCCAGTGTAGACTAGCCCTAAGGAGGCAGGCTATTAATGTTCCCATTCTTAGTTAATTGTTCCCATTCTTAGTCAATTAAGGCTCCTTTACCTTGCCAGAGTGGTGTAAAGGAGCCTTATTGTAAATAACAGGAACTTGAATCCTCAGCTAGGAAGGTCTATGTGATTTCTGGCTTTTTTTTTCATGTGCCAGAGAAGCACAATGGGGTTAGATTACAGCTCAGGATCTATTTTACTTTTCCATTAAAAAAAAAAAAAAAATACAGGACCATGATAAGCAAAACTGTCTGACTTTTAAGTGTGAAAGTCTGAGCAATTTAAAGCGACATTCTACCCTACAGAACACCGTACACCAAAATTAAAGTAATGTAATTTAAATGAAAATCCAGGATTATAACTGGAATGCAAGGTATTGGTTACCAAGTATTTGTAACTTAACTTTCTTGTGTTTAGGAAATGCTGAACAGTTTTATTGTGATTTTTTTTCTGTATGGTAGTAAAAATAAATTACCAAAAAAAGTGAAACTGGTGTGATTATATTGCATATTTTATTTGTCAAAATAATGCGAATTTTGCATTTTTGGCTCAGAATTCCCCTAGGAGGAAATAATGTTGCTTTATTCAACAAGCATGTAATTATGGATACGTTCTGTCTTTAAAAGATAAATCAAAAGTTTTCCTATGCTGATACCTTTATATTATTTTTTAGGCATCCTGCTATCTGAAACAGGGAAAATTTAAGCAAGCAGAAACTTTATACAAAGAGATTCTTACTCGTGCACATGAAAGGGAATTTGGCTCTGTAGATGGTAAGGATTTGGTGTACAACTGAAAAGTAGGATTTCTTTTTTATACTTCTCAAAATAAATTTTAGATTTTATTGAAACATACTGCAAAATCCATCCTAAGGAGGAATGACTTTAATGACTGCATAAAAATTAATCCAAAACGAGGATTTTTTTCCAAATAGTGAGACTTAGCAAGTCTATGTAACAGACTACTTTTCTATCTAACCTACTTTAGGATGTTCTATAGCACCCCAAACTCTAGTGTCTAAGAGCTAGTATACACACAGGACTACGTTTGTCATCTTCTAGTCAGTGATTGTAATACTTCAGTATAGGATTTTAGATTACTTGATAAAAATAATGATTAACTATTTGAGCTCATCTGCCAAAACAATTAAAGAATGCAGAAAAACTTGGCCTTCTTAAATTGGACAGACTGTAAATTTAACAGCTAAGATGTCAGCAGTCTATTTGTACATTGTTCCAGTAGAATGCGTTTTATAAACTACTAATTGTAATGCAGTATTTTCATTTCATTGCAATAAGACTGTTACTTTTGCAGCATTCAGTGGCTGTCACAATAAAAGAAAGAAATGCGTGTATTCTAGCAAACGACTAAGCTCTTGTCAGTATGTACTACCACCAACTTGGTTGCATCAAAGTCTTTTAGAAATAGCACTCTGTCAGCAATTTTGTAATACTGACTTCTAGGTATCTTTTATCTTCGGAAGCCAGTTAAAGGTAGACGTGTGTTTTGTTAGTCTGTTTAGTCTTTCTGTAATGTGTCAAAAATGCTAAGTGTGCTGCCAGAACCATTATTTTTGTTGGTCTTCTGCTTTCTTCAACCTGAATGTTAATGTTCTTTCACTGCTATTATAAAATATTTATTTTATATTTTTACCAGATGAAAATAAACCCATCTGGATGCATGCTGAGGAGAGAGAAGAATGCAAAGTAAGGACATGATTAAATAATTGTTTTCAGAACTTCTGTTGTTAGTTACAGATTTATATTTTAACACGCTGTTTTCAATTTAGGGAAAGCAAAAAGATGGCTCGTCCTTTGGAGAGTATGGTGGTTGGTACAAAGCTTGCAAAGTTGATAGGTAGGTATATTATTTAAAGCATTTTAACTACAGAACATATAATACTTAGAAATGTCAGTTTGAAAATCACACTTAAAAATAAAATCCTCTTATCTGTGTTACTAATATTAAAACTGATACTTAAGAAATCCAAGGCCCATGTTTGCTGGCCACAGCAGAGAAGGTGTCTTTGGGGATCTGGTTGTGACTTGGTTCTGAGGCCTTTTTTATCCCAATTGAGGCAAATCTCTAAATTCCAGTGGCTAGTAACAGCACCCAAAAGACCATCTGTCAGTTGGAGATGAGTAGAATGCAGCAAACTCTGGACATGCCTTTTCCCCCAGTTTCAACATACCCCTTATTCCAGGAATTACAGAGGAGGGGTGATATAGGAGTTTACTATACCAGCTCTGTGCCTGCTGGGAACTCCCATATGCTGTGCATGTGATCAGTCTCTATTCTGACTATGCTATTGATGTGCAGTGGCACAAAGGGAGTAGAGCAGGCCACATAATCTGGCCTCCTACCTACTTTAACTCCTTATGCTGTTCTCTGTTTTGTGTCGTTGACTGTGCAAGTAGATTAGTCTTGTTTTGGTTATTTACTTTTTGATTCTCATGCTCTACACAGAGCTACAATGTTTGAATGGCAAAATCTTGTGAGAAATGGCTTTGTTTGACTTTAAACATTTTCACTGAAATTTGAAACAACGAACACTTTTCTTTTTGTATTATGCTTGGTAAAACTTTTTCTGTATTGTGACAGGGTCAGGCTAGATGGCTACAGGAAAGCGATAGAAGGCAGATATATTATCCCCAGGTTAAGTAGGTCCCTTTTCCCTGGGTAAGGTAACAGGGAAGGTTCCAGAACAATCAGGAACTTTCTGGAAACAATTAAGGCAGACAGGCGGATAAGAACACCTGCAGCCAATCAAGAAGCTGCTAGAATCAAGACAGGCAGGCTAATCAGGGCACCTGGGTTTAAAAAAGGAGTTCACTTCAGTTTGTGGTGTGCATGCGAGGAGCTGGGAGCAAGAGGCACAAGAAGCTGAGAGTGAGAAGGTGTACTACTGGAGGACTGAGAAGTACAAGCATTATCAGACATCAGGAGGAAGGTCCTGTGGTGAGAATAAAGAAGTTGTTGGGAGGAGGCCATGGGGAAGTAGCCGAGGGAGTTGTAGCTGTCACGCAGCTGTTACAGGAGCCACTGTAGACAGCTGCAATCTACAGGGCCCTGGGCTGGAACCCGGAGTAGAGGGCAGGCCTGGGTTCCCCCCATCCCTCCATCCCCCCCCCTACTTGATACTAGAGGCGTTGACCTGGACTGTGGGTTCCACCAGAGGGGAAGGTCTCTGGCCTGTTCCCCGATCCACTAGATGGATCAGCAGAGACTGCGGGGATTGTTCTTCTTCCTTTTCCCCATGCTGACCAGTGATGAGGCTAACTGAGTGAACAGCATATTTGAGCCACGAAAGCGGCCAAACAGAGGGCTGCCGTGAACCTCTGAGGCGAGCAAATCCACCAATAAGCGCTGGACCCACCAAGGCAGAGGAGGAACTTTGTCACAGTATCAAATTTAAATTTTGAGTCAAAACTATCATACTGTGTGTGTGTTATGTATAATATCAAAATCGTCTGCACAAAATAGTTGACGCTGTTAATAATGAGATTTATTTCTATATTCATCTTAGCATTTAGTTGGGGGATGTAGTAATACAAATGAGACTTTTAAAACTTAGTAAAACTATTGCTGGATCTAGTAAACTTATCTGTTCAGTCAAATATGACATAAATATGGAGGAGAACGGGTAACTGAAGTATTGAGGAGCATGCTGATCAGGAATTTTGCCATGTCATAAATGTCTCCTTGCTCCTACTTCTCTCTCTTGTTCTAAACACTGTGTGCCACAGAAGTAGTCATAGCCTGCTATTTAAATAGCAGGCTATCTTATTGCTTCAGGGTTTCTGCTCAAATGCTGCTGGAACAAAAGCTCAGCAAGGGTTTTGACTGGTTTAAGACTTATAATAAACAGTTCTGGTATATTGTTGAATCAGGTTTTTTTTCCTGTTGGGGTGGGAAACACAATTCTCAAAGAAATTCAGAATGGAATTTGAAATCTTACCCCTCAACATCATTGGTTCAAATCTGGATGAGGTATGCAGCAACTGAAAGTAGCTCCCAGCTAGAGGCCGAGAAAGGAATTTTTTATCTCAATTAAGTGTCTAATCCACATTACAACACCCACCATTGATACTGGCACTAATTGACATATTTTTCTGGCCGTTTCACTGGTGGCCAAAGTTTGACTGTATTTTGGAGACTGAACTACACTCTCACCACCAGAGGTCTGGTCTGAGGCACCCGTTGCTGCTGTTCGTGTAGCGTGGCTCCAGAGGATAGTTATTGTATTAGTTTTCAGGACCATTAAGCAATCACTTTTTGTGAGTCTCAAATGCGTTTGAAGGATATTTTTAATGTCTCTCACATATTTAATGCTAGTATAATATTTTAAAAGATGATTCTCAGATAATATTGATGATACTGATGGTATCTAAGCTTTTATCTCATGTTTTTGAGTTTTCATGTGTTTGTAAGTTAAGAATAATTTCAATGTGTTTTTTTTAATAGTCCAACAGTAACAACTACCTTAAAGAACCTTGGAGCACTTTACAAACGTCAAGGCAAGTTTGAAGCTGCTGAAACATTAGAAGAGGCAGCAATGAGGTCTCGTAAGCAGGCAAGTATGAAAATTCCCCTTTGTTCTTAGTAACGCTATTTGTGGTTTGTTTTCATTAAAATTTTGACTTCCACTTGATGTATATTGTGCACGTTTGATGTTTTAGCTGTTCGGTAGCTGGCAGGTTTTGAGAGATGTATTGCTGTATATATTTGCCAATTTACTATCTATTATGTTAACAAAAAACACCCTTAGTTTTAGTTTAAATTTAAAATATATAGGCTCCATGTTAACCATTAGTAAACTGGGTAATTGCTAGGATGATGATACCAGGAACTGGTGGAACACTAAGTGTTCTGAGGTGCCACTGTGTGTGCAGGAGAACAGCAGCTGGTAACTGTGCATGCAAGAATGGCACAACCGAGTGGGGACACTTCTTGGCCTGGGGTGGTGGCAGCATGAATGTGAGTGGCATAATTGAGGGTGAATCCTGTGGAGGGCATGAGGGAGGACAGATACAGCAGGCTTAGACAGCAGTTCTCAGCAGGAACAGTGTGAGGAGTTGAATCTTTGGGGTAAGTTTGGACCATGGAGGGACCATAGCTAGGGAAGCATTTCTGAGGAGGGAGACCTGTTAGGGAGAGGATCAAGAGGGGAGCCTTGGTTGGTGAACTCTCTCTCCGACACTTCTGTGTGTTGATATGAGGTACTCTTCAACCTATTGAGGAGGAACTTTTGTGACTCTCTTAATGTAGACAAAACCTGGGGCTGGTGTCTACAATGAATATTTTTAGAAATTCTCGAATCCTAAAACCTGTCAAATGACCACCTCACCTTTCCACATGGGGAAAGAGTTGTTTTTTTTCTTGAAGTAGAAGGAAAGCTGAGTGTATGTTTGTGTTTTAATATGGCTATAAATGTAAATGTATAAATCTATGAAAAAAGAATGTAGACTATACTTACAGAATAGGGGATTCTGTCAGCAAAATATTTGGTGGACATGGTGGATAATTAGGTGAACACGAACTCTTGAAATTCAGTTTTTAGTAATTTTGGTGGCAGAAAAGTAAGAATTTTGTCTTGTAAAATGATGTTTTTGTGTGGACACTTTATAATTCAAACTACAAGTAAACTAGTTCAGAACAAAGATATTAGTCAAAATATGGCAGGCTATATCTTGCAGATAAAGTACCTCTTTTTGTTGTAAATACACCAATTTGTAGCTGAAATGTTTCAAAACCTATTAGTACATGATCCTGATCCTGCAATATTTTTTGCTGCTGTAGAAGCAGACTGCCAGGAATAGGAAAGAGTAAAGGAGTTACTGACAAACCTTATACCCAAAAATGTGCTGATGACATCAACATTGGTTGATTGTTTAGACACACAAAGAAGAATCCAATCCATTCCTCCATGACAAACAGAAGGAAAATCTGAGTGTTTGCCAAGTAGAAAAGGACAAAACCAGTAAGCTTGAGGGAAGATACTAGAGAAAAAAAATCTTGATATCCCCTTTTTAATATAAATACACGAAAATGCTCCTGCATAAAGTTTTTGATATACCTTTTATCCAGTGAGATTTTAAAGTAAAATAGCAGTTCTTCAAGCAGTGTCCTTGTAAGTGCTCCACTTAAGATGCACTTGTGCCCTGCGCCTTTGATTGGAGATTTTTGGTAGCAATGCCTGTTCTGCCCTCACATGCACCCCATGCATTCTCGTGCATCATGCTGAGGCTATATGGCATTAAACTGAGGGCAGTTGGCCTGTATCTTCTCAACCACCATTGACTTGAGACGGAGTCTGCAATGAGTGCCTGTTCTCTGTTTAGCATTTAGATGATAGTTTTATAGTTACTTACCTTTTAGTGTTTCCTTTTTCTTTTCTTTCTTAATAAAAAAATTCTTTTATTCTTAGATAGATATTTGTTTAGTACTGCTTCTTGGGATTGTCTCATTGTTTTTTCTTGGGAATGGTGGGTTCCCTAAGATTTGAGAGGTGCCTCTTCTGCTGTGAGGCTATTCCAATCAGTGACAGGCTTTCCCAGGTTTTATCCTCCACTCTTTGGGGATACCCATATTCCTAGTAAGTGCAAGATCTGCACATCCTTCAAGGGTAAATCCCGAAAAAATAGGGAAACCAAATTTAAATGTCTGATGATGGAGGAAGGCTTATGTCCAGCTTCAGATCCAGGGGTGGAGGATCCCACTGTGCATAGACCTCCCAGTAGTGCTATTGCTCTGTCCACATCAAGATCTCAGTCACCAGAAACCGTGAGAGTGGTAGACAGTACCATGGTACTAAGTACTTCTGTTGTACTGAAGTCCTCATCTGCATCTTCCTCTAAACAGAAGAGGTAGGGAGTAAAACTGCAAGAGGATCTGTCAGTGACACAAGAGGACTATGGAGATCTCAGGTCCCAAGGGGAGTTCCATGTAGGCTCTGATTGATGCTGGTACTGCAAAGGCAAAGAAAAAAACTCAGTCTAAGGCAGACTCCGTACCAAGTTTGGGTACCCAGACGCTAACTGGCAGAGATATGGGTGAAAAGAGTTATCATTCCATCCAGGAACAACACTCAGTACCAATATTGAGGAAGTCAGCTGTAGCAGGGGTGGCTAGACCTCATATGGTACTGAGCTCGTAACTGATGTGCTCCTGGGTGCCCAGCACGTGGTGCCAGCTACATCAGTACTGAAGCCACCCTTCACAGAGTCTCTCCTGGGCCAGTCTTTGTTACCATCAGCAGGTGTTCAGGTAACTGTCACATTCCAGGTTGCTGTCCACTTGCCTTGAAACCTTGGGTGCCTCACAATGCTTTGCTGTGATAGCTCCCAAACAGGGCCACTCACAAACAGCATGCAGGTCACACCCTGAGTGCCTGTGTATAGTTGCAGTCCTGGTCCAGCAACTCTGACATCAGCAGCTTTTCAGCAACACATCAGCTATACTCTGGCTTCCAGGAGCCTTGGTTACTTCTTGCCGGGTGACCCCAACACGCTCCTAGTCCTGAATTTCCTAAATGTGTGTTCTGCATGGCCGAGCCCTCTCTTGGACCGTTCAGATATTATACGTCTATTGGCCTTGCAAGGGGTCAGTATTCAACAGTTTACTGCTTTAACTGGAGTTACCCAAACATTTCAGTTTAAACACAACACTGGATTAGTTTTGATTAAAAATAAAAAAGTTTATTTAACTTCAAAGAGAGAGATTTGAAATGAGTACAAGTATAAGGTGTTAAAGTCAGAAACGATTACAAGAGAAATAAAGATAACTAGCTTTCTAGTATCTAAAACTTAAATTAGACTTAGTTCAAGGTCAAATCCTTACCACATGTTTCCAGCAACATTGCTGACCAAATTCTCAGGTCAGGATCCTCCTGCCCCTCCCCCCCGCACCTCCCTGGAAGTCAAAGGAATGGTTCCTTTGTTGTTCCTTGCTAAATACAGATCCATCTGTTCTTTCCCCTGACATGCGATTGCCAATCAACTTTGACTCCTGGCTAGAGATGTTAACTTGTCCTTTGTCTTTGAGGAACAGGTTTGTCTGGTAAATACGTCAGTCAGCTTCTGTTCATATAATATTGCTACACACATTTCACCATGATATTACTGACCAGTGAGTTATTAGTTTTCAAATGATACCTCACAAGGCATATTTTGTACAAAGATTATTACAATAGTGGGTAGTATGTGGGAGTGAACTCTTCAGATTTTCACATCTCAGTGCAAAGTTTCCCTGTCTATTCTAAAACACATCACTAGCCCTCCTACATTGATGTTTAACAAGAGAATAGACCTTAAAAGGACACCCTCATGGCAGGAACACAGATGCCTCCATCTGTACCTTTGGGCCCTGCCAAGTGGCCTTGCTGGGATCCGTGGTCGTTCTATCGCCCGCAATTTGCAATAGGGTCTTCACACCACTGGAGGGAACAGAGAAGGACCGATTTTCCTCAGTCCCCTCTACTACCACCCATGTCAGAGGAAGAGCAAGAAGCAAGGATGGACAAGGGAGATGACACCTCATATGAATATTTCCTCCTCTTTACCTGATGAAGCTGTGATGCTTCCATCACCTTCTATGGCAGATAACTTGAGACAGTTTCAGGAACTGATGAAGCAAATTGCTTACAGGCTTCAGATTCCCTTAGAGAGATTTCAAGAGCCCATAAACTCCTAGATATTTTACAAACTTCATCATCCATGAGAATTATCTATCCAACGGGTAGTGATCAATGGCTCCATATCTAGTTGGCAGCCGGTATCAAGTGGAGTACCCCAAGGGTCGGTCCTGGGGCCGGTTTTGTTCAATATCTTCATAAATGATCTGGAGGATGGTGTGGATTGCACTCTCAGCAAATTTGTGGATGATACTAAACTGGGAGGAGTGGTAGATACGCTGGAGGGTAGGGATAGGATACAGAAAGACCTAGACAAATTGGAGGATTGGGCCAAAAGAAATCTGATGAGGTTCAATAAGGATAAGTGCAGGGTCCTGCACTTAGGACGGAAGAACCCAATGCACAGCTACAGACTAGGGACTGAATGGCTAGACAGCAGTTCTGCGGAAAAGGACCTAGGGGTGACAGTGGACGAGAAGCTGGATATGAGTCAGCAGTGTGCCCTTGTTGCCAAGAAGGCCAATGGCATTTTGGGATGTATAAGTAGGGGCATAGCGAGCAGATCGAGGGACGTGATCGTTCCCCTCTATTCGACATTGGTGAGGCCTCATCTGGAGTACTGTGTCCAGTTTTGGGCCCCACACTTCAAGAAGGATGTGGATAAATTGGAGAGAGTCCAGCGAAGGGCAACAAAAATGATTAGGGGACTGGAACACATGAGTTATGAGGAGAGGCTGAGGGAGCTGGGATTGTTTAGCCTGCAGAAGAGAAGAATGAGGGGGGATTTGATAGCTGCTTTCAACTACCTGAAAGGGGGTTCCAAAGAGGATGGCTCTAGACTGTTCTCAATGGTAGCAGATGACAGAACGAGGAGTAATGGTCTCAAGTTGCAGTGGGGGAGGTTTAGATTGGATATTAGGAAAAACTTTTTCACTAAGAGG